TTTATACTGGTTTGTACTGGGAATGGGGCGTGGCCAAATCCCTGCAGCGCATCGGGCCCATCCTGGACAGCGGGTACTGGTTTATACTGGTTTATACTGGTTTATACTGGTTTGTACTGGTTTGTACTGGTTTACACTGGGAATGGGGCTGGGGGGGCTGGGCATACTGGTTTGTACTGGTTTATACTGGTTTATACTGGTTTATACTGGTTTATACTGGTTTGTACTGGTTTATACTGGCCTGTACTGGTTTATTCTGGTTTGTACTGGTTTATACTGGTCTGTACTGGTGTCACCTGTCTGTTCTCACCTGCCCAGGACGCTGCAGACCGAGGTGAAGCCGGTGCTGGAGAAGCTGACGCAGGACCAGGACGTCGACGTCAAATATTTCGCACAGGAGGCGCTGACAGGTGAGGGACACCTGGGGACACACCTGGGGACACCCAAAACACACCTGGGGACACCTGGGACACACCTGGGGACAACCAAAACACACCTGGAACACACCTGGACACACCTGGGGACACCTGGGGACATCTGGGGACACCTGGAACACACCTGGGGACATCTGGGGACATCTGGGGACACCTGGAACACACCTGGGTACACCCAAAAGACATGTGGGAACACCTGGGGAAACCTAGAACACACCTAGAACACACCTGGACACACCTGGGGACACTTGGGACACCCAAAACACACCTGGGGACACCCAGAACACACCTGGGAAACACCTGGGGACACCTGGGAACACCTGGGCACACCTTGGAACACCTGGAACGCACCTGGGTACAGTTAGAACTCACCTAGAACAGTCTAGAACACACCTGGAACACCTGGGGACATCTGGGACACCCAAAACACACCTGGGAACACCTGGGGACACCCGGAACACACCTAGAACAGTCTAGAACACACCTGGAACACCTGGAACATACCTAGAACAGTCTAGAACACACCTGGACACACCTGGGCACACCTGAACACACCTGGGAACACCTGGGCACACCTGGGAACACCTAGAACACACCTAGAACAGTCTAGAACACACCTGGGCACACCTGGGGGGGGGTTGGGGACACACCTGGGGACTGGTGGGGGAGGGGGGAGCCCAGGTGAGCCCAGGTGACGTCACGTGACCTCTCTCTCCCCTCCCCCACAGTGCTGGCGCTGGCCTGACCCCCCCCCCGGGACCCCCCCGCATGAGCCCGGCTGTGACCGCCCCTCCCCCCCCCGCCGACGGAGCCAGCCCCTCCCCCCACCCCCTCATCCTCCCCTCCCCCACCCTCCTGGCTGTTCACTCATTAATTAATTAACGAGGATTTCGCCGTTAATAAAAACCACACCGAGGC